TTATCCTGTATTTGATTATGTTTATCTACAGTTAGTTACACGAATTCAGATATAGAAAGACTTTAAAATTTTTTTAAAATTTTAACCACATGTTTTATAATATAGTATAGATTTAGATTTTTAAAAAAATAAAAAAGAATTAAATTAAAAGATGGGTGGGGGCGCTTACCCACCATTGTGTAAGGGTAGGATCCACCAACATATTTTATTAACTTTTTTCCTTTTAAAAATCAATTTTTTTTATTTGCAAACAAGTACCTGTCTAATTGATTAAAAGATTTAATTTTAGGGCTAAAAGTGTAATTTCTTTATTTCGTAAGGTCATTTTTGTCAGAAGCCCCAAGAATATATGCGGGTTTATGTACAAAACCTAGTCCCTATACCTTATGTTGGTTCATGGTACAATTCTTGAGGCCCAAGGTACAAGTCATTACGACAAACATGCATTCAAGGTGACCACTTTTTGAAGCAAGCAACTTGCCAAAGAAAAGCTTGAAATCCTTTCCTTTAACTTGCTCATTCAAGAAAAGAACACAAATGTATTCCATCAAGATTGAACCAAAATGGAAGATTGCTTCCATCCATATATCTTCTAACCGCAGAAAGAGCTTTAAATCAACAATGTCAAGCTGTGTTTACTGTTCATAACGTAAACCGCATTTCTCCTACGATCGATTATTCGTTTCCCTTTTCGGCTTTTAATAACATATGTTTCTACATGATGCAGAGTCTGAGGCACAAAAGTTCTTGTTCCGATGGTGAAAATGCAAATTATCGCAAGAGCGATAAAATCTTGCCAGAAAACATTCCATATACCTGTCTTGCAGCAGCTACAGAAGTACACCGAGAATGCAAAGACGATAGAAGCGGATCAGAAGGGTTTGGAAAATACGACAGTGGCTGAAGTTCTGATGACGAAAGAAGATGAAAAAGTTGGATCGTGGCTGTGGTGCAAGAGCGACGACACAGTCTATGATGCTGCGAAGCAAGTATGTTACCACATTAACATGATCATCATTCAAATATTTTCAATCGCTTTCTTCTCCATATAAATTTCATGGGTCTCTTTATATATCATTGTATCAAACAAATGAAAGAAAATCTTGCAACAAATATGTAAAAAAATAATGACAACGGAGATGAACAACCCAAAACAAAGAAAGATGGACCAACATGGAACTTACTTAGCCAAGAAGAAATCTATAGGAAGGGTTGTGGCATAGCAGTTGACGTGTGAAATATCCCATGTACACGACAATGTGGCCACTAAATTTATCGAGGCTGATTTCTTGCAGCAAGGATTAGTCCACGCATAGTGTAAGTCACCCTTCCGAAAAACAATCTATAGGAACCACAAAGATGGTGGTGTAGGATTGGTTGAGGCCTAGAGGGATGAGGAGGGCAACACATCTTCCCTAGTTCGATTCCTGCCCCTTACACTTGTGGCCACCACAGTTATGGGATGCATGCTTTAGCGTCTGGGGTTTACCGGGTCTGGCCACATGCCTAACACCCTAGCCAAGAAATCTACAGGACTTGGATGGATTTGATTTGAAGTTTTTGTGATTGTGCAGATGGCTCGAAACAATATTGGATCTTTAGTGGTTCTAAAGCCTGGAGATGAGCAAATGATTGCAGGAATCATCACAGAAAGAGGTTATTGCACTACTTATTTTAGAACAAAAAAAAAAAAACACATACATACATATAAGCAGGTAGCCAACCAAACGATGCCTTTTTAATAAGCTCAAAAAATCAGTTTGTTTATGGTTGCCAGACATGACCATGAGTCAAGGGGGCTTGTCTTATCAATGAGAAACATTGATTACTATAGAGCAAATTTAAATCATACCAAGATTTGCGATTGACGATGAAACAAATGTTCAGATTACATGCAGAAGGTATTTGTCAAGGATCGATCATCTAAATACACCAGAGTCGAAGAAATCATGACGGAGCAGGTTTGCATTTTCATGCGATGTTAGAAATATCAAGCTACTGTTATAAATCTTGAACTCATAAAACATTCGTTAACTTCAATAGAACAAACTGGTAACGGTGACATCTGATACAAACGTTTATCAAGCAATGCGACTAATGTCAGGTAGTCACTAATATCTTCTCTTTGTACTTTTTTCAAACACTTGGTGTGCATAAGTGGATATTAACAAGTCATTTGATCATAGAAAACCAGATACGGCATGTCCCCGTGGTAGACGGAAGGATCGTGGGGATGATTTCAATCGTTGATGTTGTTCGAGCAATCGTGGATCAGCAAAGCAATGAAGTGAATAAGCTGAACGAATTCATCAAGGGCGATTACTACTAGTACCAATTTATTGTTGTACATTTTCCTTAAAAACACAAAATGCAACAAATTTGTTTTAGTTCTTATTTAGTGTACATCAAATAACTTACACGCTCGTGTCAACTAGAACCCAGAACTAAAGGTGGAAAGGCCTCGTTTGTACTATTGGGCCGAAGGCCTCTTGATCGATTCTTGTTGTAGAACGTTCTCATCGAGCAAAACTAGGGCTATTTAGCTCAATAACCTTCTCCATAAGCTGGTTTTACAAAATGACCACCGTTTTTAATGGGAGCGAGTTGTTTCAAATGAACATGCTCTTGACTGAAAAGTGAAAACTCATTTAAGTACAATTCATTACATACGAACCATGAAATAAACCCGTCAGTCGAACCTTGCCAAAAAAGGAAAGAGCAGCCGCATGAAGCTACCGCAAACGCAAGGCCGACCATGGGTTAAAAATGGAAAGCTATAAAGCGATTAGAGTTTCAAGTCCAAATTCAAATCACTTGAAGAGTATATATAAACTGTACGTTCCTATAACTGTGTCTAGTCTTCAACAAACGAGAAATCTATTGAACGGATTTCCTGAACTTTGCTTTTATCCTACCAAATAATCCTGACTTCTTGGAGCACGGCTTGTTTGCTTTAAGGTTACTGTTTGTGCTTTGAGAAGTATCTGAGATGGTACATAAAGAACGATCGTCGGGGGTATTACCTAATACATGAAGTAACTCGGCCGCCAACAACCGACCCTTACAACTCCCGTGTCTTGAAATATCAACCAAACATGAAGTGATGCTTGCTTGAATCGCCCTTTCCCGCAACTCATCACGTTGGTAACATAAATCGAGCAAAATGTCGAGTGCGTGCTCTTGTTCTTCATCCTTCCCTACTTCAAGAAGCTCGCCGATGGAAACAATACAGTTATCGTGTTCAACAAAATGAGTCGCGGCTTCGTCAATGGCGCATAGATTTTTGAAGATCTTGAGACAGTAGCCATAGAACAAAACTTCATCCAATATGGGAATCAAATGTTGAATGAAGCCGAGATATATGAGGTGGTGGCCGAGATCGATGTGAGCCGAAAGATTACAAAGTACCCTTAAGGTCAAATCGTGGTATCTGCTTTTAGGGTTCTTGATCAGTTCTAGTAAAAAGGGTAGAATCCCATATGCCACTATTTCAGAATTGTATTGTTGATGGCAGGAGAGCAGTTCTAAGATCGATAACGCTTCTTCCATGATTTCTGAACGGAGAAATAACGACAAATCGTATATTGCGTTTTCTGGTAACGGTGGCACGTTGGTTCTGTAAAGAATTCAGTCAGAAATTTTACAATTTTAGAAATGTGTAATCATTACACGATTTACCAAGTTAACACATTGATTACCCTTAGTAACGGTTTACGTTTAGAAATGTGAACATTTATTTAGAAATGGGATAATGTTAATCTTGATTTTACCTGCATTCCTTCAAGAAAATCAAAAGCAACTCCGCTCCATGTCGTTTTGCTCCGGTGTCCTCTAACCGATAAGCCTCTTTCAGAAACTTAAAAACCGGTTTTATGTAACTGGTAGATATTAAAACATGAGATCTTTGATCCTCTTTCAACTGGTTTTTCACATCTTCGACTGCCCGGCGCATGGATGCCCATGGAAGCACCGAAAGCTTTGCAAGAATAGACAAGCTCGTGCCATTATCCGGCCCCGAATAACCATCAAATCGCTTGGGTTTTTCTTGGATCTTATCACATCCATTTTCAATCGCGACAACCATACTATAATCCAAACTATTTGTATCTGAAGATCGAAATGAAGCATTTTCTACTTGCAGATGTAGATCCCCTAAAGAACTGCTTAAACTGGGAATCGAGCTAGAAGAGGAAAGTTCACTCAAACGACGGTTTCTGAATTTCGTCGGTGGTTCAAGTGAATCAAAGACATCATCTCCTTCAGGATGTGCGATTCCTGTTTCTTGTGGTTTGATGGATTTTCCATACTTTCTGGTGAGATACAAGAAATAGTTCAAGATTTTCTTTTTTCCAGGGTCGGTATCACGGATCTTGTTTAGTAGCTTTCTTATGGATCTTTTCTCGATAACGAGGGTTGAAGGGGATGTAATCTGAAGCCTAAGAGCTGCAAACTTGAAAGCCATGAGTTCTTCCAGATTTGTAAATCTTGATGGTGCAATGTCCTTATGGAGTAAAGCCAGTAAGACTTTCCCTGCTTCATCTTCGGAGGAATCCATCGTAAAAGCTACAGTTTCGATATAATCAACAATTCGAGATATCTGCAACGAAAGGGACATTGATATCGAATGAGTACAAAAGCACAAATGACAACAAGATATAGAAACCAAACCCGACCAAACAAGCCCAATAAATCCCGCACATAGTAGGAAAAAGAATGATATCATTAAACTGGATGCAAATGCCGCATGGAGCACGACAAACCTGAGTAGCCAGTCTGGGTTCGACCAAGCCTTGAAATAGGCTCAAACACGATTCCAAAGAATTGCGTATCCTTTCGCACCGCAAAATTATTCTCTCTCCACTGATTGCCTGTAAAAAAATTCATTGGCGTGTATCATCAGATTACAATAAAACCAAACAAAACGAACCCAGTATATCTCATTCGTGTTTATCATATTACAGTATAAAAACACGTATGTGTATGTGATCTTCATAATCCAAGTTCGTGACTAAACCAATGGTATCCAGCATATTCCACTAGGAAAAGTCTCAATCAAGTAATTGTGGCTTAAAGAAGGAAATTTGGAAATATTTACCAAGTAAAGTTTGCTGGACTCAGAACAATGTCGAAGAAGCAGCATGCATTTTTCCATGCAACAGTGTAACGAGCACAAAACTTCTAATCCTGACGAGCATCGTGGTCGGGCAGACTCGATCGCTGTAAATATATCTGTGATTTTATCGATAATATTCTTAAGTTCCAAGCATGCCAAACGATGAACCTGTTACAATCAAATATGCTATGAAGTTACATATAAATTTTACAACGTAAAATCAAAACTTATCAAATTTTAAATTTTATTTATTACATTTAGAATCTAAGCTCCTTTTTTGTTTGCAATATTGTTTTTGAAGGATTTAAATTTCATGAATGAATTTGAATTTGAATTTGAATTTAGATTGGAACGGACTTGAAATCATTGGTGTTTTTGGTTTACAGAGTTTGGAATGGAATTGGATTCCATTATTTATAAAATAATTAAAAAATAGTTATAAAAATAATTAAATTACATTTTTATTACTCGATTATTACAAAACAAATGTTTTAAACATTTTTTAAAACCTTATTTCGCACAATCTTACGAAATCATATGAAATCCCGAGCACTCCCTAAGGATTTCAAAATCCTGTGTTTGTAGGGTTTCAATTAAATCATAGGATTTCAAATCCAGACAATCCAACAAATTAAACATGAGATTGGAATGGATTTGAAATCCCCCTAAATCCATTTCATTTTTGCAAACCAAACGGAACCTAAGTTTATAATCTATTTATCAATTTTGACCAAAATCTAGTGTAAATCTAATGCTACCTTAGATATATACAAATGTGTTTGGCAAACTATGTCATAAGTTATCTAGTATATTAATCATGTTTGAGAGTTGAAAATTGTAGAATGATTAAAATAACATGTTAAAAAGTTAATTAATTATAATATTTTGTTACATAA